ATGCCCGGAATTGCGGGAGGTAGTATGATGTAAGTGAAATTTTTTTTTTGTTGCACTACTTATGATTGCCAGTGTAGCACCAAGTATACAATCTAAAGAATATACTGTATTCATTTGGTCCAAATACAAACAAGATCTTATGATATATTCAAAACCACTTAAAATAATAGAATACTAAGTGATTCTAATAGGTCTAATTTATTAGACCATCAAAATACCAAATTTTTAACGTGCTTGGTGTCTGAAATAATTTCGAAAGTTGCAGACATAATAAAACTAACCAATGAACTAGAATTGTCAGTTTTTTATTTGAATTTAAATTGATTTGATTTGATATTTGACATTACGGCAAACAAGCACCGGTATCACTGAATTGTTGATAACATCCGGCACCACAATCAATGGACTCTCCACCACAAAATCCGGAAGGACCGCAACATGGTGTTATACCAGTACAATTATGATTCTCGTTAGGGCAAGTGGGTGGGGGTTGGATAGTGGGTTGGGCAGGAGGTTGGGGAGTAGATTGGCCAGGAGGTCGGGCAGTGGGTTGGGCAGGCGGTCGGGCACTGGGTTGGACAGAAGGTTGGGCAGGAGGCGGTTGGGCAGCGGGAACTGCGTGTAAAAGAAAAAAAAACAATGGTATGATAATATATGATTAAATAAATAAATATATATTCGATTAACACATACAGGCAGATGTTGCTATAAACGTAGCAATTAGGAAAATAACTATTTTCTTTGATATGACCATTGTTTTTTTTTTAAGAATTTCTTCACAAATAATGAAATTAAGCGATATAGAAGTGATATGGAAGTGATATTGTTTATGGAGAGAAAGCAAGAGCTATTTGAGCCTATTTGAAGACAAAAGTTCAATTAATCCATACTGTATATATATAAAATTGTATCATTAGTTAGAATAATACATTTAATAGGCTAAAATTAGAACAGTTACTGCAATCTATATTATAAAATTGAACATCCGTGGATTTCGAACGTTTCTGGCACACAGCCATGCCTAATGACCTTGTATATATTTCAGGTCGGGCTAATTCGGACAAACTTAGAAAAATACCGGCTCTTATTCATATATATATTATTCTATCGCTATATTTTACTTAATATTGAATCAATAAAGTAAAAAGATGTTTTACATGTAAATAAGTTCCAGTATTCTGGTCTGAATTAGCTCGGAGAGTGATTTTCCTAAAATTGCAATTACCCTTGCATAATTAGAACTGTTAACGGCTTGTATGGCTTGGCTCCATTATGCAGCTAAAGCCTTCAAATAAGCCGTTAAAAACTATGCTGTAATGAATATACAGATTCTCAAGATGTGATTTTTTACAGAACCGTGGCAGAGTCACAGGTTAAAAGCTTGTGCTATAATATAATATATAGTTTCAAATTTGGTTTAAACAAAAACTTACATACTTTTGTATAGATAACAAGAAGTATTTATTGGAAATATTCCTTTGGTAAAATAGTGTATTTGCAATCAAATACAACATAATAACGAATGAGAGTTAGTGTATAATTTATTGTATATTCATTAATAGAGGTCCTTAAAGAAATAGAGAATTTCTTACTGTAAAACTTGTAACTTCGATAGAATCGAAATGCTCGTAAACCAAATATTTTTATTCTAGAGAATAATACAGCTCTTAATCAAGAAATCCGAATCTGCCAGAACAATGTTACAATTCAAGGTCTAATATAGGCTAGGTGCTGCAAAAAAGAAGGTAAATCAATTTTTTTTTTTTATAATAAGATCATGATTATTTTTTAATTAAACCACAAAAGTACTTTACAGAAACCTATATATCTTAATATACAGTAACTGCATAGTAAGAATGTCGGCCCAAAGAGTCGAGTTTTTGTTAAAGTCGACCGGGGTAAAATCGCCACCCAAAAAAGTTTCGAAAATCATGTGGTATTGTCAATTCATCATTTTTAGGATTAGGGTATTTCAAATACTAATTAGTCAAAATTATGTAAGGGTGCAGTAATAATGATACTACTATTAGATTTTATGCATAAAATTGATCGACAAAATTGAGATGTCTTTACTAGTAA